ATAGGAGGATTTTTCCAATCTCTGCTTAATGACTAAGGTTGAAGACCTAGGCCTATTTCTAGAGGTGGTCTCACTGCAGGAGGAAAATGTACATCTAGAAAGAAACCTGGCTTGCTCCCCTAGGATACAAACTCCTCTGGTCCTGCCCCTGCAGCCTACCCAACCTGAGGCCATCAAATAAGTTTTACACTAGGCTCCCAACTGGCCAGGACCACATGGTTCTCTGCTGCAGTTGAAGACTCCCCACAGTGCTGTATGATTTCACAGGACAAAGGCCTCTGTGTATGAGGCCAGATTATGCGGGTGTCACAATAAAGATGGACAAAGACGGGTCAGATGGAACATACATGGGACTCTGCAGAAGGGAGAGCTGGGGGAGATGGAAGTGGCTGAACTGCACAAGCTTAAGGCATGTTAGGTTACTTTAAAAGGTGGGTCCTAGAGAGACCCAAGGCGTAAGCATACAGGACACTACTTGACCCTCCAGAGTCTTTATCTGGTTTAGAAAAGGGGACTAAATGAGTCACTCGATCAGCTTGGCCAAGGGTCTGATCATGGACCCTCTGCTCACCGCACTGACTCTAAAAGGTGACATGGCCAACCTGAACCAGAAGGGTCACTATTGACCCAGTGAGATTGTCAGATCTTGGGTTCTGGAGGGTCAGTAGGTGGGTCTCCTTATGGAATAAAATTCATTTCTTGTCAATCAAGCACAAGGGATTAGGTAGTGATAGACAAGGAAAGCTCATTTTGATTCTACTACTAAGGAAAGCTCATTTTGATTCTACTACTATGCCTTTTGATACTAGAGACAGAACACTTCCTGCCACAGTGGGATTCTTTATGCCCAAAACAAAGAAAAGAGTGGAAAGAAGTTAGAAACATGAGCTTTGTGGGTTCATTTTGTTACTGTTGTTTTTGTTGTTGTTATGTTTTTTGTTGTTGTTTTGTTTTGTTTTTGTCTTTTTTCATTCTGAGAGTAGATTTTACAGCCCAGGCTAGCCTTCAGCTTTCTTATGTAGGCAAGGATGGCCTTGAACTTCCAACCCTCCTCCTTTTACCCAAGTGCTAAAATCACAGGTTTGCATCATCACACTCGATTTGTGTGGTACTGGGGACAGACCCTGGGACCTCCTTTGTGGAGGCACACACTCCACCCACTGAGTCATATACCCCCCTCAGCCCTGCTAGTGTGTTTCAAAGGGAGTCCCTGGCAAGCTACTACTGGGTCAAGTGTGCTGCAGCATACAAAATGGGTCTACAAATACAACAGGAAAGAGGAACTACGGAAGCATCTGCAGACAGACTGAACCCCAAATGATTTCAGGGGATGGATGTCCGCTCACCACTAGCTCAGGGAAGGAAGAGAATTCAGTGAAGTGTGAACTTCTGCTCTTATCAGTAGCCAGAGCACAGGGTGGGGTGCATGTGGGGTGCAGGTGTGTGTGGTTGGGGTGTGGGTGGGACCTGAAGTCTCCTAAGTACTGAATACCTCAGTGCCCAGGCACAGGTGACTCTACTAATTCAATGACACCATCTTTTCCCACCACATCCTTCCAAAGGGAAAATGGGCAGAGAGGGTAGCTGAGAGAGGAGCTGAGGAGACAAGACAGAGAGGCAGGTCTTGACACCATTTGCAAGTAACGGATTTACAGAGAACGACTTTTGTCAATGAGGAGGTCAGGGCAGTGTCGGGCAAAGTGCCAGGCAGGCAGCTGTCAGAACACATGACCCAGGGCCCTCCACAGCCATGGACCACCTTGGAACTGCCCAAACATGTCACCAAGGCAAGGTTGGAAAAAGGTCTCTGGAAGCTGCCAGCACAGTAGGCAGCTGGACTGGCATGTCTGGGGTGACCGCTGGTGCTGGAGCTTCTGATGACATCTTGAGGATATTCAAAAGGAAATAAGAGAGGGTGGATGTCTGGAGTACAGAAGGCTCAAGACTTCCAGGAGTGAGGATTCAGCTGGCAGAATGCAAAGGAGAATACCGTAGACCCTGTGGCCCACCCAGCATCTGGCCTGAGGCTCCCACTACAGGAGACTTTCAGTTAGATCAACATCCAGACAGACCTTGACAATCACTCGGCCAGGTGGGTCACAGATGCCAGGGGTGGGGCCACATCTATTCTGAGCTGACACAGTCCAGTCTTCACTCCAGCAGGACACACTTGTTCAGAAAAGATGAGGAAGAAATACACCCGGAGCAGGTCTGGTACTCGAGTGGCCAAGGCACTTGACCATGCACTGAGGTTCATAACACTTAGGCCCGAGGGGCAAAGGCTACCCCACAGAAACCAGACAACCCAGATGTGGACAAGGGTAAAACTCACAAGCTTTCATAGGCTTGGACAGGGATCAGGTAACCTGAGGCAACTGGATACTGTCCATCCCTTCTGTCTGTCTATTAATGCTGAAATATATGAGCGTTGTCAAGTTTCTAAGAAAATCGGCTTCATTATTGCTTTGTCCCCCTCTAAAGCAGACATGAAAGTGGTGAGACACAGACCAACTGTGCACACAGCCCCACAGGCAAGATAAGTATACGGACAGAACAGGGGGTTGTGTGCTTATAAATATCAACAGAGGATCTAAGTGGGGAAAGAGGAGCCTGTCCCCCACCCCCCCAAAAAAAAAATCAAAATCCAGGAGACACCAGTATAACGTCTGGACAGTGACCCTTGCCATCTGAGAGCCATTCAAGCTTTCTTGTCCACGTCCTTCCAGAAGGGCTGCCTGGAGAACTGAGGGACTCCTCCTGTGAGGTGTGTGCAGGGCAGGAAGGCCAACTGTCATGCCAAAGGCCAATCCACTCCCACAAGGAGCGCTGGAAGGTCCTTCTGGAGACTGGAGCAGGTCCTGGGGTAGGGTCTTTCTTCCTATGGGGACCCAGATGAGGCTCAGCACTGTGTCTTTAGGGCAGAAAGGCCCAGGCACATGAGCATGGCAGGGGAGGAGCAGCGGGTGGCTTGGCCTCGGGCTCTGACGTCTGGCGGTTAAGGCTTGAGTTTATGGGTAGTGATGTCTGCAGAGAAATGATAATCCATGGTTAGCAGCATTTGCTATGGTTCCCCCCATCAGGCCTTCCATCCTCTGCTGGGGCTCAGGTCTACCCGGATGGTGCAGGAGGCCCTGGGTTCTATCCCCAGAGTGTCACCACTCTCAGGAAGGATTTGGAGAGAGTTGGGGACTGGGCAAAGTGATCAATGGGGCAAGCATTGTGACCAGTTGCAATGAGCCAGTTGCAACATCACCTCTGACCCTTAACTCCCTCCAGCAAGTTGCTGGAGGTTGTATCATGGATTTCAAAGTCACTACAGAGGGCTCTGGGCACTCACCGTGAAGCAAGAACAGTTTGGGGTGATGGTTCATAAGCACAGGGCACGTGGGGACAGGTATGCTAAACTCCATGTCAGCACTGAGCAACACAGAATAGACACAAGGTCCTGAACCCTCCACCACTGCCCTGGAGCAGACTTGCTTGGGAATTTATTCATCCTTTGGATTCATGATATATTCGTGTCCACCCATACATGTAATTATAGGACACATGCTGTATACATATCTGCAGCTGCCCCCTGATCCTGCAGTCAAATGCACAGTCTGCTAGCAATGTTTAGTCTCATCTAGAGTCCGACAGACAGGGCTGGAGTGAGGGAGCCCTGAGAAGCTTCTGTAGGGCACTGACCTAGCAAGAGAGTCTGAGCTCCAGGGTGCACCCACCCAAAAAAAAGACCCACCCCAAAACAGACCAACAAGGTGGGGCCTGCAAATTCCAAACAGCACCACGTCCACTCAGGCTGGGCTTTGCTTTTTGTGATTCAGGAGGTAGCCCTCTCCTGACCACACCCAGGCCAGCTTTTTTTAAATATTTATTTATTATGTGTACAATGTTCGGCTTGCATGTATGCCTGTAGGCCAGAAGAGGGCACCAAATCTCATTACAGATGGTCGTGAGCCACCATGTGGTTGCTGGGAATTGAACTCAGGACCTTTGGAAGAGCAGGCAGTGAGTGCTCTTAACAGCTGAGCCATCTCTCCAGCCCAGCCCCAGGCCAGCTTTTATAGCACACATCCCACTCTATGCTAGGACACAGTGGTACTCCATCAATCTCTTATGTTCTCAGGTAAGCTGGGGGAGGGAGCCCACAGCCACACGGGCATCGCTGACCTGTGTAGGTGGAGACAGCAGAGCACACACCAATCTGAGTGCGTGACTTCTAAATAAACTCAGCCCTGCCTGTCTGTGCCACCCCCAATCCACATGTCAGCCAACCCCACAGTGATGATGCACCCCTACTGAGCATGTGCAGATTTGTCAGCATTGCCTAGACAATAGCAAGATTGACCACCCAGCCAGCACACACTGGGTGACGTGTTAGAAGTCATCCAGGTGACTTAAAGGGCTGGTGAGATGGCTCAGAGGGTAAAAAAGCTTGCTGTGCAAGCCTGAAGACCTGAGTTCAATCCCTGGATCCCACATATATGTGGAAGGAGAGAACTTGACTCCACAGGGTTGTACACTGTGACACATGTGCCCGAGTACGCCATGTACTTATGCAGTAACAAATACGACTTAAGGCACAGGAGAGTGTGTGGAGATTCTATGCAGACCACAGACATGTCACACCCAGCACCTTAGGGCCCTCAGATCTTGGTGTCAGTGGAGCCTTCAAATGGATCTCAGGTGGATACCAAGGGACGGACTATATACAGTCTCCAATTAAAGGTACATAGTTTTTACACTAAGACTTCCCTATGCAATGTCTTGAAATGTCTATGGCTAGCTGGCCTTTGATGTCACTACCTTTCCCCAAGGGCTTTGAGGGCAACAGGAAGGTCAAGGTCATGAGGTCAGAGCACTGGTTACCTGACGCCCTTCCCCAGGCTCTTCACAGGAATCCAGAACTGTCACCTTTGTGTGACCACCTCCCTCTTGAGGTCCCCAGGCCCCAGGGGCCTCAGTGCTCCACCTGAGCTCCATCCTGGGGTCCTACCTGGTCAAGCTTGATTGTCATACAGGCTCTGCCTCTTCTTGGATTTCAGCTCCTTTAGCCACTGGGGCGAGTGTTCCTCTGACCTGAAATCACAGCACCAGGGATGTTTCTGTGACTATTTCAGATGAGATCTAATGCAGACCTACACAGACCAATGGGACTCAGAAGAGTCCCAGTCAAGCAGATCACGGCTCACACTATACATGGGCAGATCACGGCTCACACTATACATGGGCAGACCACGGCTCACACTATACATGGGCAGACCACAGCTCACACTATACATGGGCAGATCACGGCTCACACTATACACAGCACTCGGAAACATCCTGACCCCAGTGGAAGCATTCCCATCCTCACCTCTCATCTTTGTCTATGCTGGAAGGCAGCACCCGACTGCCCAGCACCCCAGGCTGGAAGGGTGACTTAGGGGTCTTGGGCTGGGGTGTCCAGCTGAGGGACTCGCCAGGACTGTCCACTTCTGGCCTCTTGTGCAGTTGAGCCTGGGGAGAGAGGAGAACCCAGTGTAGCTGTCTTCTGTCTGGGGACAAGCACCATCTAGCAGTGCTACCATGGTGACACCTCACAAAGCAATGGGGAGCCTGAGCTGCAGAGTGACCAGGCAGGAAGAGTGACCAGGAGAAGAGGTCAACAGCCTTGTCCCAGTGGAGGCTCCAGCAAAGTCACTCCTGTATCTAGTGACATGAAGCCTGCAACACTGGGGTCCCACAAGCACGTAGCAGGGGTGACTGTCCCCTGAGTTTGGGGGACAGGCTGGAAAGGGGTGATTTAAGACAGTGTGAACATGATTCCTCTGGGAGAAGCTAGACAGTGTCACAGGCCTGTCATCCCAGATGGCAGATGGAGGCAGGAGGATGTTACACAGATGGGCAATGGAAGGGGGAATCCAGAGAAGGGAAGTGGGGATGCTGGCTGAATAATGACCAATAGACAGGAAGGGAGGGGGGAAGGTTAAATAATAGATGGGTAGAGGGAATCAGGATAAAAGGTGTTGGTTGGGGCATGAGGGACAGACAGAAGCAAGGTGGACAGAATGGGATAGCAGGCTGCTCTTTGTACCTTCAGCACGGCTGGGTCCATGCCTGGGAACACAGGCATCCTCTGTGGATGGCTGACAGGAGTCCTCTCCACCTTGGGTGGCTCTTCATCTGACTCCTCCCTCTTGGGCGACTTCTCTTCTGTCAAGAGAGGACTCTGAATCATTGGTGGGTCCCTCACACCCCTGCATGATGACCAGGGCACTCCTGGCCCATTTGTGCTGGGGCAGGAGCTTCCTACTCTCTGTTCTGCAGATGCTGCCACCTGCCAGAAACAGTGGCCACAAGCAGATCACCTCCTCTCAGGGAGAACACGGGCAGACCCTCTGGCTCCTGCCACTTTGGAGGAATAATAGGACATCCTTGACAGAGGCAGAGCAAGTGGCAGAGATATGTCCCACCAACAGCGGGCAATGTGGAATGCTTCTGGGTCTCTTCAAGAGACTGCCCAAGTTAGGGGCTAGACCAGAGACTTCCTGGAGATGGGGTGGTGGGTAAGAAGTTTCTGGTTTCCTAAGACCTGGTCATTGGAGGGGCACAGCATGTCCTCTGGAGCCCCAGGCTCAGCTGGATACTGGACATGCTCAGAAAGGTCAGCTCTAGCCTTTCATATCCCCTGGCCATGTGCTCAGGACTATGGAAGCCCCAGGTTGTGCTGCCAGGTCCCTTGGGGGAATCTGTGGGCTTCTGTCCCTAAAGTGGCCTGAGTTTGCTCCAGGTGACTTGGCATAGTTCTGGCCCTGCAGACAGCTACTCACCTATGTATTATTGTTTGAATCAGTGTACATGTGCATGTATTCACGTGTATGTACCAGTGTGGAGGGCGTGTGTGTCTGTGTGTGTGTGTGTGTGTGTGTGTGTGTGTGTGTGTGTGCGCATGGAAGTTAGAGATTGATGCTGGGCACCTACATATCTCTCCTCATTTTATTTTTTGAGACAGGGTCTCTCACTGGACACGGAGTTCACAAATTCAGTTAGAAGAGCTGCCTAGCAACCCTCAAGAATCTTTTTGCCTCTGCTTGCTCAGGGCTGGGTTACAGGAGTACAAGGGTACTAGGGATTTGAACTGGGGTCCTAGTACCTGTGAAACAAGTACTTTACACATCTCCTCAACCCACACAGGACACTTAACCTTCATTCGCTAGCACGTCTGGACCATGAGAAGCAATGATGCAAACCCAAGTATTCGTTTGGGCTTCTGGTCAGAGACCACACTTGGTCATGCTACTGTCTGCCCTATAGACCAGGCTGGCCCCAAACTCAGCGATCCGCCAGCAGCCCTGCCTCCCAAATGCTGGGATTAAAGACATGCACCACCATGCTTGGCTCTTGGTTTTGGTCTTTCTTTCTTTCTTTCTTTCTTTCTTTCTTTCTTTCTTTCTTTCTTTCTTTCTTGTTTTTGTTTTGTTTTGTTTTGAGACAGGGTTTCTCTGTATTGCTTTGGAGCCTGTCCTGGCACTTACTCTGTAGACCAGGCTGGTCTCGAACTCACAGAGATCCACCTGCCTCTGCCTCCCAAGTGCTGGGATTAAAGGCGTGTGCCACTAACACCCAGCCATTTTGGTTTTCTGAAGAGTCTCACATTATAGTCACAGCTGGCCTGGAACTCACTCTGTACACCACCAGGCTGGCTTTGCACTGTGAAGACTTCACTGTTTCCCTTCCCGAACTGGTAGGGTTAACAATGGATTCAGAACACACTTAAAATCCCACTTATGGCAAATTCTACAGAACAAGAAATCACAGCTTCCTGGGACAACATGCCCCATGTTCTAAACCCTCTAAGGTTGGGCCATTCTTACCAGGGTTTAACCTGAGGCCTTCCTGCCCAGAGGTCAAGTGGAAGGCATGGACATACCTGTTGAGTCCTTGAACATCCACGTGCTGTGTGACTCCTCTTCTAAAGGGGACCGGCTCTCTGACTCACTGAACTGACTGCGCCGGAGCGAGTGGGAGATGGGAGCTCGGCGGCGGCTTCGCTTACTCAGCTGCACCCGGGTCTTCAGGGCACTCGAGTCGAGGACTGAGGTTTGCTTAGGGGTGGCAAGGAGGAGACGGGAAGGAAAGAAACTGTCAGTGGAAGGCACCATTCACAGACTGTGTGCAGCCTTGTTCACACACAGGGTGTTCTCCGGGGCGCATGGGCTGGTGTGTCATGTTCTAATGGCACCCTTGATGCTGTAAACCTCAACTTTCCCCATGGAAACCATGCAGGCAGAGCCCAAGAACAGCACTGGACACAAGGGACAAATGGCATGACATCACATCACACAGGCATGGGAGCAAGTATACACCAGTAGCTCAATACATGCCTGTTTTCTGACTGTTGAATGAACATCTGAATGTATCTCTCTGTGTCTTGGTGACAACCAAATACATGGAGTCCCTGAGCCGAGAGGTACTCACTGTGGTCCTCAAGATAATCCACAGTGCAGGTGGGAGGGGAGGGACCACCTACAGAGCACCAATTGGGGGTACTTTCATGTCCACAGGGCCACCCTGGGACACCTCTCTAATCGGCTTCCAAATGGTCCCCCTACAGGACACCCAAGTCATAGTGGCATCCCACATAGACCTCAGTTTACCCCATACTTAGGACCATCAGCATATAGGCAGACTCAGAAGCCATGTCAACCTGCTAATCTAAAAGGCAGGCAGCAGATGTCAGCCCTTGGCTATCAGTATGGACATGGGATGGAGCCAGCTACCAGGGACCCAAGGCTGTCAATGCCACCATTGTTGCTTTGGATGGATTCTAAGAGAAAGTGCTCAAAGTTCAAAAAGGAATGTCTAGCAAGACATCTATGTCATATTACACATATCTCATGTACATATGAGCTGCAGCAAGGTTGGGTGACAGTGAGACCCCAGTGCATGGCTGCTGAGTAAATAACATAATGTATCACCTACTGGAATCCTTTCAACACCCAGGGAGATGGGTGCCATGCCTGTCCATATAACAGTGTCCCGGAACACTCATCTCAAGTCTTTTTGTCTCACCTCTTATCTAGAGGTGCCTGAGGAAAGACCTTGGCCGTGTGTAGACTGTGGGTCCCCTGAGAGGCCCATCAGAAGCCCCTTGGGGGCATTTGGAGCATCAGCTACCCAAGAGTAAGGTCAGAGGCTTGGCCATCAGGAGTGAGGGACCCTTGGAGGCTCAGGCTTCTGAAGCAAGTTGGAGTCCAGTTCTGGTTCTGAAGGGCCTACAGCAGGACACTGTGGCTCGGGATAGTGGATACCTGAGGAGGGACTGTGTGAGGAACCTTGGCAAGCTCAGTTCTGGAGAACCCCCAGAGGGGGACCTGTGCCTGGAACAGCTGTCACAGAGGGCCCTTCATGCCTGGTGCCCATGTTCTGCTGAGCAAGGACCTGAAGAGGCTATCCTCTGTGTTTGCTCTAGGCAGACCTGGGCTGCACAGAGCCAGGAACTACAAACCATAGGCAGACTTGTGAGTGCTCCAAAAAATTGTGCCTTGGATACCTATGATCACCTTTGAAGCCATGAGATGGATGTGCTAGTTACTAGTGAGTAAGGAAGTTGATGATCAGAGAGGTGAGGACATCTGTCCCAAGACACACAGCTGGTATGGGGCTGTCCTATGGTAAAAGAGGGTCCATGTCTAAGGCTGTGTCCCATGCCCACCACAGGGGTTCTTGGCATACAGCGCCCATCCTGGGAGGGTGGTGATCATGCACAGGCCATGGCTTCCTTTTGATAAGAAATGGCTGTTTCCATCCCAGCCACCTCCCCCTGTCTCAGGCTTACATGGATGAAGGAAAAGTCATCTTCTCTCTCTGCTGGGCAAGCATCTGATGGATGTGGCCCTTCAGGACCATCTGTGGACTCCAGTTCGGAACTGGAGCGGTCCACGCTGGAGCTGCGCCTGTCCCTGGGGCTGTCATGCTGCTCCACTGATGTGGACTCCGTGTATGAGGACAAGTGGCTGCTTGGTGGCTGCTTCCCGGCAGATGTAGCACTGCTGTCAGGAGATGATGGGGATTCAGGCCCAAAACTGCAAGGGAAGGCAGAAGGCGACAGCTTTCACAGAGGGGCCCACAACTGTCTATCCCAAACATGGGAATGGTGGACCTGTGGCTCACAGTGTTCAGACTCAGGGTACAGCAAGGGTCTTCCTCCTGGCAACAGCAGCCAGGAGTCTGTTGTCCATGGGACTTCTGTACAGGTGGCAAAGGAGAGGCAAGACCAAAACCAGGGGTGATGGCAGCACACCTGGAATCTCTGCAGAAGGAGGCAGAAGCCAGGGGGTGGGGGGTCAGGAGTTGGAGGCCAACCTGGGCTACATAGCAACCAACTATGCCCAGAAACTAGAAAAAAAGAAAGAAAATAAAAATGAGAGGCAACACAGGCTGTGGGGAGGTGCATGCGTGGTGAACCTCCAAAGCTCTGATGAGAAGAAGGCCAGGTTAGATGCCTCAGAGCTCAGGTCCCTCCACATGGAGAAGACAGGCTTGCTGGGACTTCTCAGTCCACATCTAACACCGACCATGGAGAGCTTGCTAAAGACAAAACGCACTTCACCCACATCTGCATATTCCTTTGGTGGCCTGCACAACATCTGAAATCATGTGGGCAGCTCGTTTCCATTGGGTGACAGCAAGGGGATCAGAGGGTCCCTAACAACCAGCAAAGAAGACTGGGCCTCTGGCCTTCTGCTTCAACCAACAGTTGACTCACTCACTCAGCCATCCATCCAATCAACCAGCCAGCCAGCCAGCCAGCCAACCAGTCAGCCAGTCAGTCAGTCAGTCAGTCAGCTGGCCAACCAGTCAGTTAGCCAGCCAACCAGTCAGTCAGTCAGTCAGCCAGTTAGCCAGTCAGTCAGTCAGCTAGCCAGCCAGCCAGCCAGCCAGCCAGCCAGCCAGCCAGCCAGTCAGCCAGTCAGTCAGTCAGTCAGTCAGTCAGTCAGCCAGCCAGCCAGCCAGCCAGCCAGCCAGCCAGCCAGCCAGCCAGTCAGTCATCCACTCGCTCACTCACCCTCTGTCCTAAGGCCCAGCATCTTAACATGTTTCCCAGCTCCAAGAGGCTTTCACAATTGGGGTGTGATGACGTTAATGGGAAAAGCACAAACCCAGAGGCCTAGGGAAGAGCCACCTCCTGGCAGCAGGGGGCACCACTGTCCAAGGCAAGAAAGCCTGGTCCCGGAGACTGCAGTTCCTCTGGAGGACAGCAGAGGGAGAACAGCATCAGAAGCACCAAGGTCTCAGAGGTGTTGAGACAGAAGCTGGGGGCCTGAGGGCACCACAGGGCTCAGGGTCTCTTAGGAGACAGGAACAAGTTTCAGCACAGATCACCAGACATTGGGTGATCCTACAGGGACACTCAGAAACACTCGAGGAAGTGAACTACACATATAAGTCACAGGTTAGCAGAGCGGGTGTTAGAGACTGGAAGAGTCTGGCTGGTTGGTTCCATTTCTTCTCTCATCAAGTTTCACTCTAGCTTTAACTCAGGGCACCTCAGACAGCGTGACAATCAGGCCCCTAGAAGTGACCCGGCAATCAGAGCCTCTAGCATGACCCAGGGGGACGATCAACACCCCCAGCAGTGACTAGCGGAGTGGTCATACCCCCAGGAGTGACCCAGCAGAGAGAGGTCAGCCCCCACCCCAGCAGTGACCCAGCGGGCAGTCACCACCCCCAGCCAGTGAACTAGTAGAGTGATCATCCCCGCCACTCAGCAGTCGCCCAGAAGAGAGGTCAGCACCCCCAGGAGTGACCCAGCAGAGCAGTCGGAGCCCCCAGTGGTGGGAGAGATGGGGGCCTGGGTTCAAGCCCAGCTCAGCCACTGATATACATGTTGTTTACTCAGGCCTGCTTCTCTCTGAGCCTCAGTTTCCCAGGCTTGAGTGATGTCCACAGACCACAGGGCTGGTCAGTCAGGCATGCACTGATCCTGCAGCAGATGCCAGAGCACCAACCCTTTCTACGACCCTTTCTACAGAGGAGGAAGGTGCCCAAGGGGAGATCCATCTCATCCAACCTGCTCCCCAACGAGGGAGGGCTGGGCTCACAGCTGCCTCTGGTCAGCAGTTTGCAATCACTGCCCTGGGAGTTCCCTCCCAGTCGGGCAGAAGAAGGTCCCACAAGCCACATGCAGATACTACTCTTATGGAACAGTTCCTGGAGTGCACACCGGCAGGTACAAACACAAACACACGGATATCCAGAAGCACTGTGGGAGACACAGAAGAAGCGCAAACGCAGGCGTGACCCTGTGCTGAGGCCAAAGGGGTCTTTGGTTTTGTGCTCGGGTAGTAGCTATTACAGTTTCTTGTTGTGTATGTTTCCTGGGCTTGGAACCCAGGGCTGCTGTCTATCAGTCTTCATGTTTTCACAGTGGAAAAACCCACAGGGTTAGCACAAAACTAACCCTGAGTGACACACACCATACTCAGTGCTATGCAGCTGTCCCATGTCTCACAGGGGGGAGACCAGGCTACGACAGTGTGTTATGACATAGTTGTCTACAAATGTTTTAAGACCCGCATGAGGAGCTGTCCTCAGATGCAAGTGGGGAACCAAAGGTTTGAGAAAATTGTCAGCACAAGGTACCCAGACCACCACCTACCTGCACTGCTGGTCTGTCATCTGCCTCCTGTTTACAAGGGTGTTCGTGTTTATTCAGTCTGTCCCCATGTGTCAGCCTGTCACAGTGTGGATGTCTGTCCTTGTGGGTCTCTGTCCTGTGTTCTGCCTGTCCCTGCATGCTCCTGACTGTGTCCAGGATATTTGCCCATTGTCAACGTTTTATTTCCATCTTTTTGTGGCTTTCTAATGCCCTTCATACATAAAACAATGGCTCCTTCCTATTATAACTTTCTAAAATACAGAAATTTCTGGGTCAGCCATAGATTCTACGCTGAATAGTTTTATGTCAGTTTGACACAAGCCAGTCATCTAAGAGGAGGGGGTCTCTATTGAGAAAATGTCTCCATAAGATCAGGAGGTAGGCAAGCCTGTAGGGAATTTTCTTAATTAGTGATTGATGGGGGGAGGGCCCAGCCCAGGGTTCTATAAGAAAGCGGGCTAAGCAAACCATGAGGAACAAGCCAGTAAGCAGCACCCTCCATGGCCTCTGCATCAGCTCTTGCCTCCAGGTTCCTGCCCTGTCTGAGTTCCTGTCCTGACTTCCTGTAGAGATAACTACAAAGTGAAAGTAGAAGATGAATCAACCCTTTCCTCCCCAGGCTGCTTTAGGTCATGGTGTTTATCACAGCCACAGAAACCCTAACCAAGGCAGACTCGGCCCCATCTGTGCCACCTGGTGCCTGGCATCCTCATCCAGGTGTGTTCCTACCTGCCTCCATTCTGGTGCTGGTCTGCCCAGGTCCCATACTGGCTGTCAGCCTCGTGCACGAGGGTGTCAGTGTCCTTGGCCTCGGTGGTTCTCCTGGAGAAGCACTGCTTCAGCTGGTTCTGCAAGGACATGAGGAGGGAGTAGTTCAGGTACAATCACACAGCACCAGAGCACCCAGCTTTCCGCTGCCCTCGGTCGTGGTTCCCCATGTCATGGCGAAGGAGTCCAAGATACGACAGGAAGCAGCACTTTTTGGGTTTAGATGGGCATTCTGGTGTGGACCATGTCTTGGTTCCAGTATGGAATGTCTCTCATGGTGCCTCTGCATGACTGTTTCGTCCCCATTTGGGATGCTGTGAAATCTTTGGGATATAAGGCCTTACCAGCAGTATGGGTGCTGAAGTCAGGCCTGAAGTGAATCTGTCCTGCTTCCTGTCCCTACCCTCTGCATCCACCAAGATATGAACAAACGTCTTTTTTTGTCTGGAGATCTACAAAGATGACACCAGCTAACAATCTAAGCAACAAAGGAGAGGCTACCTTAAATGCCCTCCCCTGATGATGAGATTGATAACTGACTTATATGCCACCCGATAGCCCTCATCCAGCAGCTGGTGGTGGTAGAAGCAGACACCCACAGCTACTCACTGAACTGAACTGGAATCCAGTTGCAGAGAAGAACGAGTGATGAGCAAAGGGGTCCAGACCAAGCTGGAGAAACCCACAGAAACAGCTGACCTGAACAACGCGGGGAACTCTTGGTCCCCAGACTGACAGCATGGGACTGATCCAGACCCCAGGAACATGGGTTTCAGTGAGGAAACCTCAGAAATCTACGGGACCTGCTGTAGTAGTTCAGTAATAATCCCTAGCATAGGTGTAGACTTTGGGAGCCCATTCCACATAGAGGGATACTCCCTGAGCCAACACACGGGAGTGGGCCTAGGCCCTATCCCAAAGGACATGATAGAGTCTGATGACTCCCTATGGAAGACCTCACCCTCCAGGGGGAGCAGAAAGAATATATATGATAGGTAGGGTTTTAATTGGGGGGGGTGCTGTAGGGGAGGAGAAGAGGGAGAGGGAACTGGGATTGACATGTAAAACAATCTTGTTTCTAATTCAAATTAAAAAATTAGTATTGCAAAAAAAGATTTTATTTATTTATTATGTATACAACATTCTGCTTCCATGTATATCTGCACACCAGAAGAGGGCACCAACCAGGTCTCATAATGGATGGTTGTGAGCCACCATGTGGTTGCTGGGAATAGAACTCAGGACCTCTGGAAGAGAAGTCAGTGCTCTTAACCTCTGAGCCATCTCTCCAGCCCGGAGACAAGGTTTCTCTGTGTAGCTTTGTAGCTTTGTAGACCAGGCTGGCCTCGAACTCACAGAGATCCACCTGCCTCTGCCTCCCCCTATCCCAATGCTGGGATTAAAGATGTGTGCCACCTCTGCTCAGCATGAACAAACTTCTATCCCCATGGATCATGCAACCCCTGTGGCCTTCCCTTCACAATGGGCTATGCACTCTGAAACAGTGAGCAGAGAAAACCTCCCCGTTAGCCACTGGCAAGAAAAATAACTAATGCATAGGTACAGGGTCCTGCTGGGTGTCACCTGGCCCTGTAACTGTCCAACACATGGAAGTCCATCTCCCTCCTTGAAGCTCTAGAAATGCCAGGCAGGCCCGTCCCCACCTTCCAGGATTGTCCAGCCCAGGACCCACACAGCAGTGATCCTGAGCCTACTTCAAATCACACTACTGACATGAGGCTACTTCATGCAGTCCAACCCTACTTCACGGCTAAGAGAGTGACACCCCTGGGCTGGTGGTGTGACATGTAGGCTGGGAGCAAAGGGAACAGGTCATCACAGAGCTGGCTACCAGCCCAGTCTAGTGCCTGACATCAGGGGTGGCTCATGAGTCACCATGACACCTGTGCCTCTGACTTCCCCACTTAGCCGGGTGATACATGAGAGGCCTTGTCTTTTATCATCACCATAGAAACCAGCCACTAATGCCCTGGAGTTCTCAAGAGTGGCCTTGGGTGGGCTCCTGGGTCGCAGTGATTCAGGGGGGCTCTTAACCTGGCCTTTCATGAAACTCCTAGCTACCGTCTTTGGAAGACCTCTAGAGGTGGAGGAGGAGGGGGAGGAGGGAGAAGATCATCCCGGCATGACGTCATCCCTCTTCAGACTGTCTCAGCAGAGCAACAGGATACACAAGCACCAGCAAGGAACAGCCTTCCCATGCGGCCTCAGTCCTGGTCCATCTCTATCACAAAGGAGTTCGAATGGGAGCTTGGGGTGAGGGGGCTCAGTGGTATAAGAGCATCTTTCTGAACTACATATACTCACTTGGTCAGACACACACCACAAATCACAGTCAATACTTTAAAACAATTCATCACCCAAACAAAATACCTATTGACTCCAGTCTGGGATTTTCTGTGGGTCAGTCCCTCCACATGCTCCTTGGTGGCCAGAGAAAACCCCACTGTGTGGGACACAGCATTGGTCATATAACCAGTCCCAGGGATGGTGACTTCTAAGCAGCCTGTTGTTTCCACGCTCACAACCAGCCACAAGGTGTGCATTCTCAGACTGTCACCTCTCCATGAGCACTTCCCTAGACATTCAGTGTGGCCTGAGACAAGCCGATGGCTGTCCCAGCCTGTGATTAGCACAGGAGACTGACGGTGACACACTGTAAGGTGGTGGGTGGCTCCAGCTGGGACCATGTTTGTATTTTTGCATCCAAGGTCATGGGACACATCCCAGGGCCTGGCACCACACTGAGCAGATGTCACCCCTTCCTAACTGTCCCACCTCAATGCTGAGACTTTCGTGGCAGTTCTCATAGCTGCAAGGCCCTAGTCAGTCACTTCCCAGAGGACTTGCAACGCTTAAGCTTTCTAGAAACCTTACATTCAAAGTTTGCTTGAAGGCAAGCTCCCCCTGCTGACTGAGTTTTGTCTCAGCTCTGCCCACGCTCACGAAGCACAAGTGACACTGGGCAAGCAGACAGGCAAGCAAGCAAAGCCCCTCTGTTGCAGCCGCCTCCCAGGTGTCACCAGGTCCAGAGCACATCTCTGTCATGTTCTTCTGGTGCAGATGGCACAATATGTGGCCAACAGCAACCTTTCTGATGCAGACATCGGGGACCTTCCCTGCCAAGGGCCCCCTTTTTGAGACAGGAATACCAACATGGCTTCTTGTGACGTAAACGTCATGGCTGGAGAGTCACCACAGCCCTTTGCCTTGGTCTCCTTTACACAAGCTGCTGAAACCTCTGGTGATAAGGAAAATATGTGATTCCAGCAGAGAGAAGGAGACAGGATGAGCCTGAAGGCAGGATAGGAGGCAGAAGGAAGAGCTGTGCCCTGTAGACATCTCTCCTTAGACACCCCAAAGCCCCTCCCTCCCTGCAGGGGCTCACAGAGCCTAAGCCAATGGCTTCTGCCCTCCTACAGCCACACAGATCTTAACTCCCCTGACCTCATACTCCTTCCCTTTGAAGCCTCCCTGTTTCCAGTGACTAAATGCTGAGCCCTGCTTTCCTGGCCTCTGAGGGAGGAAACAGGTCCTTCCTCTCTCCTCTGTCCTTTCCCTGCCGCCAGGCCACTGCAAGGCCTCCACCTTCCCTGCACTGTTATTTCCTCCCTCAGATCCCAACAGAGTGAACCCTCCCTTAAATGCTTTTACATAACAAAGAACCTGAAAAAGATACCCATGTCCCCTAGTGACATGTCTGAAAATAGACAACAAACTTGGAGGAGTTGATTCATGCCCGTAATCCCAACACTTATGGGACTGAAGCAGGAGGATTGCCATGAGTTCACTGCTAGTCTAGGCTACATCATGAGTTCCGGGCTAGCCAGAGCTTCATTGCAAGATTCTTTCTCAAAAATTTAAAAACAAACAAACAAAAAAAGTAGGCGCAAACACACACAAAAAAGCATACACAAGCAATGGAAAGGAGGGCAGGAGAGCTGGGTCTAGGTGGGATGGAGCCATCAACATCCCAATCGCTGCCATAGTTTTTTGCCAATTCCAAATAAGAGGAGCCAATTCCTACACCTCCGACTCAAGAGGCTCCTCAGAAGCCATTCACTTTGCACTTAGAAACTGAGGCACAGGAACTGAGCAGAATGTAGTTGTCGGTTTCCAAGATGGGTGAGAGGCAGGGCCTGGAAGACACCTCTGGGATTCACAGCTCTCTCCAGATGCCCAACCAACACCCACTTTCTCTACCTTTCCCACAATGCTCCAGGAGGTTCTGATAAGGACAAACACTTTGAAACCCTCAGGAATCTGGGGTTTGAAAGGCCATTGGCCCAGCCCAGCAACTCACCAGGCCCAGGACCACAATGGGCAGGCGGGAGGTCCTCCCCAATGCTTATGCCCGAGAGACCAAGCCAGCACACACCTCTAAGGTTTGTGCTGAAACAAGTTAGGACATATGTCTCCCGATTTAAAATCTGTAGGTTTAGCTGAATCAGCAGAAGTTCATCTCAGGGAGATATGAACAAGCACACTTGCCAGGTTCCAGAACACAGCCGTTCCCAACAGGACTGGCCCTCACTGAAAAACAGGAATGACAGCCTGAACTGTGAAGAGGGTGGGGACCAGGCTGTGAGATGGAAACAACACTCATGCAGAATGTTTGCCATCACAGAAAGATGTGTCTTGAACACCAGCTAACATAAAATCAGAATTTAAAAGGGTCCTAGCAACAGTGTGCCAAGAAAGAGGTTTTGTCTGAGCAAACAAGTATTCATGAGTGTAATCACAGAAAACATTTAGAAGGTTCCTGGGCAAGTGGAACATGTGTGCTGAGAGGGGACACTCCTTGCTGATTGTGACTTTACTTAACACCAGAGGGACGCTTGGCCTTTCCCCTTCTGGATGAGTCCTGAGATGAAACTGGATAAAGCAAATCCCACCCCCTCACATGACTTAAGGACAAGTTGCAGAAGGGGTCTTTTCATTTGTTAATCTACCCAGGGCTACCAAGCTTCCACAGAGAACCAGATGCCACATTTTGGAGGTCTCTGGGCTAACAATTACACCACCATTATTAAGAGGGTGGTGAAGGCTAGTGTGACGTTCA